GTGTGTGTGTGTGTGTGTGTGTGTGTGTGTGTGTGTGTGTATATATATATATATATATATATATATATATATATATATATATGTGTGTGTGTGTGTGTGTGTGTGTGTGTGTGTGTGTGTGTATATATATATATATATATATATATATATATATATATATATATATATATATATAAGAGACAAAAATACAATATATAGTTATAATTTTTATTATTGTTATTAAAACAATACACTGGCAGCTAGCTCTCTGCAGCTCTCACATGGTCACCCACTGAAGCTAAGCAGGGGTGCGCCTAGTCAGTACCTGGATGGGAGGCCACATGGTTGCTGCTAGAAGTGATGTTAGTGAGGCCAGCAAGGGGCGCTCTACCTGTGGTCTGTGTGGGATGTAACACCCTAGTTTATTGATACTCTTTAATACTCAGTCCACAAGATGTCCTTCAAAAGGACAGAGTAGGGGTTTAACCAGGTTGCAAAGTATACATTGTAGATTGGAGGTGTGAATTTTTTGGGTTATGTTCATATCACATTTTATTTTATCACATCATTTTTTGCTGGGTTCCAGGACATGTCGGACTTTCAGGCAATGAGCGAGCTGTGTTGCAGCTGCTAAAGACGCTTTGAAGCAAGTAGTGAACAAATGCCAAATTCCTCCATCAGAGATGAAACCTTTTATCAACGCTTACATTTTAAACAAGTGGCAAAAGGAATGGGATGCATTAGAAAACAATAAATTACATGAAATCCAACCTGAAATTTCACACAGAATTTTAAGACATTTTAAGAATCGATTTGATTAAGAAGTTTTTACCAGATGTCGTATTGGGCATGCGAGAATAATACATGGTTTTTTGCTCCAAGGTAAAAACCCTACTCAGTGTTTGTGCTGCAAAACTCCTCTTACTATAAAACACGTTTTACTGGACAGTCCTGCTTTTACTGATTCCAGAAGACTTTTTTTATGAAATGAACTCTTTGAAGGACATTTTTAACAAAGTGAAACCAGAAAAGATTTTAGAATTTTTATCATGTATTAACACAAAAAAATCTTATTTAATTTTTTATTTTTTTATTTTTTTTAAAATTGTATATTTAATTGTATATTTAAGATTCCTGCCATGAAAATAGCCTTGGTTGCTGACATGGCATTAAATAAAAAAATACATTACATTACAGTGCAAACCAGGCGCAAACCAAGCCTATGTAATATTATAGACATTAACCCTGAACCAGTCAGTTCTTATCAGGTTTGGGCAAATATCACTGTGATCCTGAAGCCATCGAGGTGATGGTGCCACAAGACCTGGGGTCCCTCAATGCTGCTTGCAGCTTCATTCATTTATTTTCCTTCGGCTTAGTCCCTTATTTATCAGGGGGTCTGAACCACTAACTATTCCAGCAAATGTTTTACACAGCGGATGCTCTTCCAACCACAACCCAGTTCTGGGAAATGCTTGAAGCTTTAATATTATTATTGTTGTTATTAATATTAATTTGATTATTACCACTATTACTTTCGCTATTATTATTATTTATGTTGTCTTTTTTTCTGCTGTGTATGTCTTGGCAATATACGCGCATTTATGTCATGCTAATAAAGTGATAGAGGAAATGAGAGAGGGAGGTTTAGTGGTTAGAGACTGACCTACCAACACACACACACAGAGAGGAAGAGAGAGAGATGTTTAGTGATTAAAAAGCGACCGACAGACAAACACACACACACATACACACACCGAGTGAGAGAGAGAAGCGCAGTAGCTTTATGTGTTTATTCGGCTCTAAGTTTGTGATTTTGTTGCAGTTGCAAACGGGACTGACGAAAGAAAATCAACAACAGATCTGCACCGGGACTGTGTGAGTAAAGCTCTTCAACATCTTCATCTTAAATACTCCGTTTAGCATGCATTTTGATCTGGTGTTTACTATTGACTACAAAGTAGAAATGTAAAAGACTTTTGTCTTTTGGATGGAGGCTATTTTAACATGTTTTTAAGATATGGTGACGAGAGGAAAATTGCTGTGTTTAGCACAAAAAAACAAAAGAACAAATATGCTTCAGTTTTTGGAGGAAAACACTGCAAGGTGAAATATGAAGTAAGTAAATGTTTAATAATTTTTCTGATATCTAACAGTAAAATCTACTAGAAGAAATGATTATTTTAAGGTAAAAATATTAGCTTTGATTAATGTATTGTTTTATTGAGAAAGACAAAGTGAAGAGTGAATGTGTGCATGTGTTAAAATAATATTATCTGCAATAGATTACAATGAATTTAGTTATGTGCATGTTTTGAAATTTAAATATTCTTTGCACATTGTTCAAATGGACTACAATAAATTCAGTTTGTTTAAATAGAAATTGATTAAAATTGTACAAATATATTGAAGTAAATTGTATTTTTTGGATATTTTAACATTTTCAAAATGATTTGTAAATTGTGCAAATGGAATGAAATTGAATTAGTGTTTTGCATATTTGAAAATAATTTTATTTAAGCAGGGTTTAAAACAATATTTTTGGCATATTTTAAAGTTAATAATGGTTTCAAAATTGTAAAAAAAAAAAAGGTTTCAAATAAGTTATATTTTGTATACTTTAAGCATGTTTTTTTCAATTGTAAAAAATGTGTACACTGATAAAAGTAAATTCTATTTGTGGCACATTAAAAAAAATAATAAATAAGCTATTTTAAATAAACTATTTTGTATATTTTAAGCATGTTTTAAAACTAAAGTTGTTTCGTAATTGATTATATTAATTTAAGTAAATTCTATTTTTGGCATATTTTAAAAAATGTGTTTAATTTATATATGTTTTATAAATGTTTTTTATTTATTTTTTATTTTTTGTTTAATTTATATTTTTTTATTTTAATAAGGGTTTCAAAAGTAAAAAAATATTTAAGTAAATTCTATTTTTGGCATATTTAAAAAAGAATATGGCTTAAAAAAAGGCAAAAATGGGCAAATATCACTGGGCTTCTAAAACTGGTTAGAAATCATTTCTATTTTGCATGTGTTTTGTAATTGTTAAAAAAATAGTTTCAAAATTGTTCAAAGGGATTTAGGTAAATTTTATTTTTTGGCATATTTTAGAATTAAAAATGGTAAAAAAAAAAATGGTTTCAAATTGTAACCGGGGATGTGCCACTGACAACGGAGGTGAGGATCCACATGCAGGTTTATTAGCGAGATCAGGCCAGCAATGGTCAACACAGGGGCAAACAGATACAGGCAATCCAGAATCATAGTCAATAGGCAGGCAGATGGTCAGAGGCAGGCAGCAAACAGGATTAAACAAATAAACAAGGCAAGGATCAAAAACACGGTAAAGCAATGAGTGTCTCAAAGTGAGCCTTATATATGTGTGTGTAATCAGTACTTGAGCAGCATCAGCTGTGTGTTTGAAATCAGTCAGGATCAGGAACAGGTTGTGTGTGTATCGCATGACTGGGATCTGTAGTCCATAACATGGCGGATTTGTTTGTGTGAGTTTGAATGTTTTCCAGTGACCTCTGGTGGTTAGATCGCTGGTGATCATGACAAATAAATTCTGTTTTGGATATTTCACGCAAGTTTTGATTATTGTAAAATGGTCTCAAAAGTTTTTTAGATTGATTTAAGTACATTTAGTTTTTTTTCCATATTTTAAAATTGAAAATGGCTTTAATGTTGTAAAAATAGTTTGAAATAGATTATATTATTTGCATGTTAAGCATGTTTCAAAATTGGGGAAAAAATGGTTTTAAAATAGTATAAACTGATTTAATACAAAATAATTTTTGGGATATTTAAAAATTAAAATGGTTTAAAATATATTATGTTTTGTTCATTTTCAGCATGTATTTAAAAATAGAAAAAAGGTTTCAGAATTGGATTAACTGGTTTAAGTAAATTCTATTTTTGGCATATTTTAAAATAATTATTTTTTAATACAAAAATGGTTTCAAATAAGTTCTATTATGTATATTTTAAGCATGCTTTAAAATTGTGAAACAAAATTGGTTTCAAAACTGTATGAATTGTTTTAAGTAAATATTCAATTTTGGCATATTTTAAAATGTAAAAATTGTTTAAAAATTGCAAAACTTGTTTCCAAAAAACTATCAGTATATTTATGCTCAATTTTTAAATAAAAAAGGAAATTAATTAAATATTTTGAAACATTTTATAAATAAAAAAATGGTTTCAAAATGGGTACAAATAAATTCTACTTTACTATATTTTAAGCATGTTTTAAAAAATTAGTTCATTAATTCCCCTATAGCACATGTGTTTGGACTGTGGGGGAAACTGAAGCACCTGAAGCACGCCAGCACAGGGGGAACATACAAACTCCACACAGAAATGCCAACTAACGCAGCTGGGACTTGAACCAGCGACCTTTTTGCTGTGAGGCCACAGTGCTAACCGCAGAGCCACCGTGTCACCCCGGTTTCAAAATTGATTTAAGTAAATTCTATTATTGGCATATTTTAAAATTAAAAATTGTAAAAATGGTTTTACAGTAAATAAATCCCATATATATATATATATATATATATATATATATATATATATATATATATATATATATATATATATATATATATATATATATATATATATATATATATATATATATATATATATATATATATATATATATATATATATATATATATATATATATATATATATATATATATATATATATATATATATATATATATATATATATATATATATATAAATATATATATATATATATATATATAT